TACTAAGTTTTCTTATATAAGTTTTATGGCTTCTTACATTCAAGTGTTTAATCCATTCGAGTTCATTTTTGTATATGGTGTAAGATAGTGGTCTGGTTTAATTATTTTGCATGTAGCTGTTCAATATTCCCAATATTATTTATTAAAGAGACACTTCTTACACCCATTGTATATTCTTGACTCCTTGTCATAAATTAATTGACATGTATGCATGTGGGTTTATTTCCAGGCTCTCTATTCTGTTCCATTGATCTCTGTGTCTGCTTTTATGCCAGCACCATACAGTTTTAAATTGCTATAGCTTTGTAATGTAGTTTGAAATCAGGCCATGTAATGCCTCCAATTTTGGTCCTCTTTCTTAAAATTCCTTTGGCTATTCAGGGTCTTTTATGATTACATATAAATTTTAGGATTGTTTGTTCTATTTCTGTGAAAAATGCCTTTGGAATTTTGACAGGGTTTGTATTGAATCTGTATGTTGCTTTGGGTAGTATGACATTTTAACAATAGTAATTCTTCCAATCCATGAGCATGGTACATTTTTCCATTTACTTGTGTCTTTTTCAATTACTTTCATTAATGTCCTGTAGTTTTCAACACATGAGTCTTTCACATCCTTGTTCTGATGCAATTGTAAATGGGATTGTTTTCTCAATTTCTCCTTTTGATATATCACAATTAGTGTATAGAAACATAACAGATTTCTGTATATTGATTTTTGCACCTTGAAATTTTACTGAATTATTTTATTAGTTCCAACAGTTTTTTTATTAAATCTTTTGGATATTCTTTATATAATATCATGTCAACAATAGTGACAATTTTATTTCTTCCTTTCAATCTGGATGTCTTTTATTTCTTTTTCTTGCCTAATGGCTCTAGCTAGGACTTCCAATACTGTGCTGAATAACAATGGCATCCTTGTCTTAGAGGAAAAGTTGTCAGCTCTTCACCATTGAATATGATGTTAGTTTTTTTCTTGTCATACGTGGTCTTTATTATGTTAAGTTTTCTGTATACATTCTTTGTTGAGGATTTTTGTCATAAATGAATGTTAAATTTTGTTAAATGCTTTTTCTGAATCCACTGAGATGATCATACGATTTCTATCCTACACTGTGTTCATGTGGGGTATCATACTGACTGATTTACAGATGTTCAATCATCCTTGCATCCCTGGAATAAATCTCACTTGATCATAGCATGATAACCATTTTAGGTATTATTGAATTTGGTTCGATAATATTTTCTTGAGGACTTTTGCATCTATGTTCATCAGAAATATGGTCTGATAATTATAATTATATTTTCTTTCCAATGTTTTATTTATTGAATAACAAGCTCTTAGTTTCATTGATCTCTCCTACTGTCTTTTTAGTCTCTATTTCATTTATCTTCTCTAATCTTTCTTATTTTCTTCCTTCTACCAAATTTGGTCTTTGTTTGTTCTTGGTCTAGTTTCTTAAGGAGTTAAATTAGGTTGTTTATTTGAGACTTTTCTTGTTTCTTGAGGTAGGCATTTATCTCTATGAACTGTTTTTATAACTGTTTTTTGCTGCATTCCATAAATACCCTTCTGTTCCATCATAACATCCATCCTGCTATTGTCATTGTCATGAAGTTAGTCATTGCTGTCACTGTGCGGCCTTTGTGATCTATTGTAGCCTTTCTTATAATGTCAATAATAGCCTTTATAAGGTTATATTATGTTATATATTATTACTATTTGTTTTCAATTATTAGTGTATATTATCTATTTATATGTATTATAATGTAATTAGAATATGATATCTTTTGACATATATATTTATCGTCAGTTAGTCTCTAGATACCCTAAAGGCAGAAAAAAAATCTCTTATTTCACCTAAATCTTTAGCAACCAGCAGAGGGACTAGTCAGAGTAGATGTTCTACATATCTTTGTTCAGAGTAATGGGAATTTAGAAATTATGCGTCATATTCTCTTCATAATTACCTGAAGAACAGTGATGAATGCAATTTGACAATAGGCTCTGAAGTTAGACTTTCTGAGCTTAAATCTAGATCTAACATTTACTTTCTATGGAAATTGGGACAAACTATTTAAATTTACAGTGACTCAGCTTCCTCATATGTGAAAAGGGCAGTTCTTACCTAAAGAGAATGTGGTGGGAATTCAATAAATCATTGCTTGGAACAGTGGCTGCTGTGTAAAATTGTCATGTGTGTTGCACGTTATTCTCAATAATGACTTGATGGTGTGTGTGTGTCTAGCCTTCTAGTGGGAGGGTCGTGGTGGTCATGTGATTGGAGGGCCTCTTTCACTGCCCGAGTTCTTCAGCATTAACGTCCCAGACCGTTTTGTTGTGAGCATGACCTCTGGTTGGCTGAAGGCATCATCATCTTTATGACTTTCATTTTTGCTACCTTATCTAATTTTTTAAACATCCACAGTGAGTCCCACCAAATGTCACATTTGGAAATGAATAATAGTTCTAATCTAACTGGAATAATTATGCTGAAGAAAGGCAGAAAGGATAAGCACTATCCTTGAGACTCCATCCAGGGACAGTGAAATCCTGTGCTCAGTCTTTGCAGAGCCTAAAGACAAAGTAGGGGTCCTGTGCAGCCGTGGTATGATCCATGGAGACCCCAGGGCCTGGGCCTTGCAGTAGGAGCGAGAGTGACCTTCTGGTAGACCCCGGTCCCGAGTACTGGCACAGTCCTTAGCATGCCATGAAGCCCTTCCTTGATACCAGCCTGGAGCCTGGGCATTTGCTCCTGCAAAGAGGGGTTCTAGGCCTGGAAGACCTTCGCCAAGAGTTGAGATGATGTGTGTTCTGTGCCAGTTTTAAGACAGTGCAGATGACATCCCAGGTGTGGGAAACAAGTCAGTCCTTAACGAGCGACATCAGACCACAGTTGCAGTTATAAGGGCAATGATGGGAAATAAGGCAGAAGGTGCTAACCAGAAAAACTGCAGCAAGTAGGACATGGACATCATCGGGAGGCTGGGTACAATAAGGACAGTGAACACTGCAGGGGGTCTTGCAACTATCATATCACAACCGTCTTGTTTACTGTTGTAGCCTCAGTGCCTGGTGCAGATATCATAAACACTCACTGAACATTAAAATGAATACATGATACAGGGATGAATTGCTGAAGGGAAATGAGACTGTCCAACCAAATTAAATGTGTAAATCTTGCCACATTGGTGCAATATTACAGATACTTTATCAAATACGGTGGAGAATCTAGAGGACATGAGCAGTTGTCAGATTGCTCTATTCCTGAAATAATCTCCAACAAGATGAAAAAATCATTTATCTTATTTCATTATCATACTTCATAAAGATTTAGGGATACAATAGCTAGCCCCGTCCTAATATTCAAGGAGTCTCTGATTTGATAAATGGAGCAAACATCATATGGAGAAGCTGTGACATGGCTCAGGACACGCTGGGCAGAGTGGACAGCTGGCAGAGTTGGGATGGTGGGGGTCAAGCTCCTCTTGTGAACATGCACACGCCTATCAGACATGGCTTGTGTCCACCAGCAAGAATGCTGTCTCCACCCGGATCCCAGGGTAGAAGAAAAGCCATAACACACAAATGCAGCACCCGTGTCCACATACTTTATTTTACAGTAAATAGTGCTTTACTCAGTTTGGGCGGTTCTAGCAGAACACCACAGATGAGGTGGGGGGTAAGACAGACGCTTGCCTTCCACAGCCTGGAAGCTGGAAGTCTGAGATCAGGTGCAGCCTGGTGGCTTCCGGGCAGAGGCCCTCTTCTGTATGTTCACGTGGTGGGAGCTGAACAAGGAGCTCTCTGGGGTCTTCCTTACAAGGGCTCTGATCCAGAGACCTCACCCCCAAGGTCATCACACTAATGGTTCACATTTTGGCATATGAATCTTGGGGAGACACCAACCCCAGCCCACGGCAGCTTTGCTAATAGTGAAGAGAAGTGGGATCCTAACGGTGAGGCCGTAGATCCCCCACCTGACCCCTTCCTGAGAGAAGCCAGCACTCTTTACCCTCAGGATGAAACAGAACAGAACTCGGGTCCAAGTGAATGAACCTTATGAACCTCAGCTTTCTCACTGTGGAAGCTAAGTGCTTCCGCCTATCTGAAATGATGAAAGAAAACATGGTTTTGATTCCCCACTTCTTCCAGGCTTGAGGGGTGCCTGAAAAGGGTGCTATCGTTGCGACGGCTGTGTTAACAGGCCCGGCTTGGCTCAGCACGACCTCTGTCTCATGGGAGGCTGCAAAGTTTAGTGAACAATCACCACTTGGCTTTAGAATTTTCCTCTTTACTTCCCTCTAGAAGTTTGCAAAGATTTCTTGGTAATTAGTATGTTTCCCCTTTCAGAAGTGACAGGCTGAGGTTCTAATTATCCAGATGGAAGCAAACTGTTTTTTGGCTTTTCTCCTCAAGCAACAGCCAATGTAACCCTAGGTTTCTGGTTGAAATTCCAGTGCAGAGATTCCCAAACCACCAGCTGGAAGGTAAAACACTCAGCATCTATCCTATTTGTGCCAATCGGGAAGGGGGACTAAGAAACATAAAAATATAAGTCTACACATTCACATATTTCCAGATGAGCTGAGAGCATATTTTATGCGGACTACAATTATAAAAATGTTATACTGTATTAAATAAATTTCCCTTCATACACACACACACACACACACACATACATAATGTATCAGATGATGGGAGTATCTCTGAATAATAAAATCAAGTGCATCTGAATGGTAAGAAAAGAAAACACCTTCTGGCTTACAAAATTATCCTAGTTATTAGTCATAATTAGTCATAATTGAGAATAGTATAAGGATTTTCTCTTGCATAAAAGTTTACATTTGTCTTAAAAATTGTAGAGAGAGGAGAATTTTGACCTAAGAGAAATACAGAAATAAATGTTTTTCACACCCGGAGAGTGTGATTCTGTAAATGTCTCTGAGATAAACTTCATAATGCAGAAATTACCTGTGCATTAGGCTGTCCAGTGCGGAGAGCATGGTTGTTCTTAGTTTTGGGCCATTTTTGCAGAAGGTGAAAAGAATAGCAAGGGGGCTGCATCTGGGGGTGGACATCACTCTGTGGTTCACTGCAAAACACAAGTCGCCCTGAAATACAAACTTATGGGTAGTTTGAATAGCAGAAAGTAAAAGCCAGAGAGCATATATCTGAGAAGAGCCTGCAGGAGTGTAGAGATGACCCGCGGAGCAGGACTAGCCCTGAAGGGCTGAGGGAAGAACACAGGTTTTAGGGGAAAGGCAGAGGAAGGCAATGGTTTTTAACAAGTGTACAGTGTGCTCACCCAACACGATCTCATTTTAACCCCCACGATAGCCTTTTGCTGCATTATCACCCACATATTGCACACGTGGGGATAGAATGAGGTCAGATAAACTGTCTGTGGTCACACAACCAGGGAAGGCCGGGGCAGGAATTCGAACCTAGCCTGCCATCTAGATCCAGTGATTTCTCAAGTTTGGAGAAGGGCCTCTGAATTTCACCTAAATAAATAGAATGATGCTCTGAAAAAAAAAGGTCAAGTAATGTGTAGAATAGAGATGTCATCATATCTGAACAACCCCTTTCAATGCATTTAGATTCTTTGCAAAGAGAAACATGGTGTTTTTTTTCCTCTGCATCTTAAAGAGTAAATGCAAATGTGTTTACTAACATTTACCTTATTTGAAGTCAGTAGTTCTTGAAGAATTATTATTATATGCTAGAATGTCTTAGAAATTTAAATTACATAATTTGCTTTTTATAAATATATGTGTAAATGACATTGGTCTTTGTGAATCCATGCATGCGTAGGCAATACTTTTTGCCCAATGCAGGCATGTAGATGGCAATTCATTGACTTTCCCTCCAATTCTTTTCTATACTGTTTGCTTTGATTAATTACAAAGTTTAGGGAAATGTTCTTTTGAAGACAATACACTTTTCTCCAGCCAGCTTTTCTGGGAAGTCCTGATATTAAAACATAGAAAACAACAAGAAAGTCCGGGTATCCTGAAGAGTGGGAGCCTTTGTGGGCCTGCACGATGCAGACTGTCCCTGAGTTCGTTGCCATCATTGTTTGTTGAGACATTTCTAAGGAGCCAGGCTCTGGCCCCTGGGAGCTAGCTTGGAAGTGCACCCCGAAGCCAGGGGGCCCTCTGTAAATGAAGAGGCCCCGCCCATTGTGGACGCTAAGGTCATGGAGACACGCTGGAGCTCTGTCAGGATGCTGAGAAATCACAGAGCACAGAAATGAGGCACTCACAGAGCTGGAGCAGACAGGTGGAGGCTGTGGACGGGCAGTTGGGAGGACGGGGCTCCACGGCGCCAGAGTGGGGTCCCATCCAGCCGGCGCCAGAGCCAATGGAGACTGGGGCGGACGGGGTTCCGGGGTTGACCCCGAGTGGTGTTTTATCTGCCATCCCCACATATGTATCTGGCTAAAGACTCCTTGCTAAAGACATGCTTCTGTTTCAAAACTAGCCGCATATTATGTGGTTCTGACCCCCTTCCTGATTCCTGTCCTCGACTTGTCAGAGCTAATTAGGTTGAGGCCATTTTCAGCTGCTAGTTTGGAAGCTGAGGAGCCTGCCCGTGTGTCGTACACACACTGCTGTGCACATGTGTGCTCCATATCATGTGCACGTCTGCGCTCCGTGTCAGTCTGCAGGGTCTTTGGAAACGAGTCTCCCTTTAAAGGCAAAACGGAGTTATAATCAAAGCCATGTATTGCTAATTGACCTTTAGTCTTGCAGATAAAGGCTGGACTACAATTGAAAATGTAACAGAATCAAGGTCTATATAGTTATTTGTTTTGGGGAATACTCCCCTCCTGTACAGACATTCACATTGTTGGAAAAGAAACTACATCTTAAAACGAGAATATGCTTAAAAAATAATAAATTCCATTTTTAAAAGATGCACCATGTCAGTAGAAAATGGAGATCCATTTATATTACCAAGAAAATGGGTGAGTAGAATCATCCAGGAATTTTTAATTTTGAGATAACAAAGAACAATGAATCTTGATTGGAGTTGTGATCTCTGAGGGTTTAAGGCAGAAGAAACGAACCGATTTCTCCCTATTAGACACAGAGGTTTTTTTTTTTTTTTAGTTGGTTAGTCTGTTTTCTTACCACTTTCTATTTTATATTGTTGGTTTTAGGCCCCTGGAATCTGAGAACATCTGTGCCTAGGGGGAAAAGTGCCTTGAAGAAACATGTGTTTGTGAGGAGTCTTATCAGAGCATAAATGACACAACTGTTTCCCCAGGAAGAAAGGATCCACTAACACACCGTCAGGGGGGGCTGGAGGGGCGAAGGAATTGCCAGGTTGTATTACTTGTTCAAATGGAGCTTCACTGCTTCTAAGATAGAAATAAAAGGAGCAAGATAGGCAGTGAGAAACAGCCAGAGAAGCGAGCCGCAGTGAGCGCCACGGTGTGTTTGCAGGTCTGGTGCCCGGAGGGCTCACGGAGAAGAGGAAGGGCACGATGGAAGGATGGAAACCCTCCCCTCTTCAGGGTCCTCTGTGTGCCCTCTGCTTTCTCAACTTTGTTCAATTTCATCAGCTGTCATAAATATGGCATAGACAGAAATCAAGACAGTAAGATAAATGAGTGAAAAGTAAGCTGAAAATGAATCAGAAGGTCAGAGGAAGCAGCCTGCTAGGCCTGAGACCTTAGGACAGAGTCCGGCAAACATTTCCTGTACAGAACAAGGTGGCAAATGTGGCCTCAGCAGCTGCCCGATGCCCACTGTCTCGGGAAAGCTGCCGTGGTCAGTGGGCCTTGTGTTCCACCCACAGTTTGGTTATGGAGACTTGAATCTGTCTTTTATATGCTTTCCATGTGTCACAGACAGTTGTCTTCCATTTCTTCCCAATTATTAAGACATATGAAGACTACTTTGGACTCGTGGGCCACATAAAGATCGGCACTGGGCTGGATTTGGCCCATGGCCCATGGTCTGAACGCCACTGACTTGCAGCTTTGGGTTTACCATGCGACCTCACTTCCCACGTCGGTGGCTGGAGGCCAACCCAGACACCCTCACATTCTCTCTGACCACCACGATTTTTAAAGCGTGCTCCCTGTGAATGAATTTTCTCATCTTGAAGATATGACTCCAAATTTAGAAACACAGACATGAGAAGATCTGGCAAATGAAGAGAATCATAGATTTTTCTTCCATTGAATGCTTTAAAGATAAATAAAAACGACTTTGATTGGCATCATTGAAACTACCCAGGCTGACTTCTGGCAGATTAAAAAACCAAGTGCATTTTTCTACAAAATAATAAGACTGACACATTTTGTCAGACTCACTTGGCATTTCTGATATGGAAAAAAAAATCATGAAACAAAAACGAAGACTTCAATAAGACCAATTAATTCATTTCTCTTTAGCTTTGTGGCAAGTCACCAAGCTCTTCTGTCTGTGTGCAGTGTGCAGGCAAATACGTGCTCCGTTGTTCTGCACTAGGACGCTATTAACATTGCCACCTTCCTGTTACTCTTTATCACACTGACGGGGAGAACGAAGCCACATGAAGGCTAAGTAAGAGCCATTTTCCAAGGGAAACTTACAACCGGGGTTTGTTTACAGTTTAATGGTCTTGAAAATAAAGGACTATTTTGTATTTTTCATCTGGCTTGTTAGGGACGCTTTTGTTCAGTACTAGTAATGTAAGTGAAAGACACCTCTAAGTAAGAGTGGTCGTAGATCACATGGTGTCTCTTCAGCCAAGCTGAACAATGAGAAACAACCTTGTTGCCTATAATATCCTTTAAATAAGAAGAGGGGGAGTGAGTAGCTCCACCTTGAGAGTTCGCTGTTTTGCTACATCAAATAGGAAGGTGTCTGAGATGTGGGCTGGAATTCCTGGACCTGCATCTGCACGTGGGGATGCCAGCGAGGCCACGGCCCTCCCCACACTGCTATATGCCCACCTTATTCAACTGCCACCTTACTCTTTAAACTGTTTTTGCTGGAATCCCAGGGTTTCTGGGGAGCTTCCTCAACATGTCCCACAAACAGAGAGAATTGCAGGCACAAATCCACATTTCGAAAAAAGGCAGCTTTGTTTTGAACTGTTCCCTGTCTATTAAGCATCTGCATAACATCTTATCTGAGAGAATCTTTCTGTGGCTTAAGAAGTGTGAAAGTCAGAGAGATGGCCTGAGGAAGTTTGGATAGATTATTTCCAGATTACTTGCATGTAAACAATTATATTGATTCCCCATTGTCTTCCCTCTTAAATGTTAATATGTGGGAAGACCTTAAGGTTTGCCGTACTGACCTTCAAATTCTGGTTCCTGGTACACCGGGTGAGCTCAACAAGAATGGTGGAGCAAGCTTCTCTAAAAATCCAAAAAAAAAATCCACTCCTCTTGAAAAGCAATGAGAATCCCAGCTGAAATTGTCAAAATCAACTCTTTTTAGAACTCTGTAAATTATCCAAGGGCTTGATAAAAGTCTGAGGAGCACTTATTCAAGGAAAATAGCCAATTTCAGTAGGAACAGAAAGCTTTCCAGCATTTCACCTGCTTGTTTCTCATCATACTTCCTCAACTCCACGGTAGCCTAGAAAACCAATATCCCTACAATCATACTTAATGCCAGCCCCCTGGTAGGCGTGGGAGCAGACAGAGTGGGTTTGGAAACCCCTAAAAGCACCATTCCTAAAGAGTCGTCACTGACAGACTATAACCAAAATGGCTACACTAACAAAGATCACAGATTAATAACTGAACCTCTCGGCTTTACCAACTAGGAAAGGAGGGAAAGTATCCCAAAGAAGGCAGACAAAATGGGAATAATAAAGATTAGAGTGAAAATAAGAGAAATAGAAAATAGAAAAACACTAAGAAAATCTCAGTTGATTCTTTGAGAAGATTAAGAGCATTAACAAACATTTAGCTAGAATGCAGAAGAAAAGAAAGAAGACTCAGGTTACTAAAATAATGAGTTAAACGGGGGACATTACAGAAATTTAAAAAATGACCATAGAGGATCTACACACAATCGCAGGCCAAAAAACCCTCAGCAGAATGTTAACCGAGTGAATCTAGCAACAGATAAAAGAAATCCAGATGAAATGGACAGATTCTTAGAAAGGCACAGACTACTGAAACAGACTCAAGAAAGATAAAAACCTGAATAGACTTAAACAGTAGAATAGTCAAACAAGAAGGAATTAGTAGTCAAGGTCACCAAAGTCACTATTTCTAACAAAAATAGTAAAGGGTCAGATGTGTCAGCTGTCACTTCTACCAAACATTTGCAGAATTAATGCCCATCTTTCACAAATCCTTTCAAAACATAGAGGAGAAAGGAACATTTTCCAGCTTATCTTATGAAGCCAGTAAATACCCAGATACCAAAAACAAAACAAGACATTATAAGAAAAGAAAATCACAGCCCAATCTCTCTCTGAATATGGATGAAAAGATCCTCAAAAGAATGTTAACAGAGTGAATCTAGCAACAGATAAAAAGGATTGTATTGTAAACCACATATCTGAAAGTATTAACATCAAACTGTACAAGCAATTCATGCAACTCAATAGCAGAACAACCCAGCTTAAATGGTATCATAAATGTGCTGTTGTGACAGATTCATGGTAAAATACTACGCACCTCACTCTTCTCATTTTCCACTTATTTCTCTGGCTGTTCCTCTTCTCTCTGTGTCTTCTTCCCCATCTTTGATGTGCCAAGTTAGGATGGCCAAGAGCTCAAACCTCAGACCAGGTGTGCTAAAAACCAGGTCCTCGGTGGGACAGCTGCAGAGTCACAGAGGCAGCTGGATGCACAGTCCCCAGAAGTCTCTTACCCTGGAGTCAGGAAAGGAATGGGATCCTGAGGTCCTGGGTGGGAGTATCTGGAGGATGTGCTTGACAACCAGATGCATCCAGGCCTCTGAACCCTCTGAGAAGACAGAAAGGGTCCCCCCCTCTTTGCCCCAAATCAGCAGCTTACTCTTGCCTGGAGCTCACCGAGTCCTGACCTGGCGCATTCCTCATCACACTGTGCATGCTCTCATCAAGACTTCGCCCTTTGTACCGGTTTATGAGCCGTAAAGAAGGTCGAGAGAGTATGTCTCCGTCTGGAAGTCCTGTGTTTGCTACAGTAGGGAAGACAGAGGAACTGGCTAACAGGGATGGGCAGATTTACAGTAGCCTGGGAATTCTTCTGGAGTCTGCTGAACCCTGGAGGTGGAGAGATTGTAAGGACTGATAAAGGAGATCTGACTGATATGGGGGCACGCTTCTGTAATGGGGGTTTGACATCCTGGCAGGAATTGCTATAGTGAGTCCTGGTCCATGGATGAAAGGATCATTACAGCTTAAGAAATGATGGTTTATGGAAAATGAGGTAGAGAGGATAGCACTTCATTGCAAGAATATTGATGAGTGGATAAAAATAGATCTATTACAGAAAACAGAGAATCCACCAGATGACCAATTCCCTGGGGAGGCCACGGAGTCTCCCCTCAGCCCAGTAAGGAAGGTACAGGTGTGATGGGGAACCTCAATGTCAGCCTCTGAAGGACCAGGTGGACAGGGACACATCTGCTGCAGAAAAAGGTTCTTTTGTGTCATTGGGAATGATAGGATTCTAGAATAACAGAGGCTCTTAGGGGCCAGGTGAACCAAAGAAATGTAAAGTGCCAAAAAGACTGAATATTGAGATATCTGACTCATGGGGTCGTTGGTAGAATTGCTCTGCTTGTATAACTGGCAGATCAGAAGAAAACTGGTCACCCACTACAGAGGAAAGGGGTTTGGCTGTCCTGAGTTCCTGTATCTGAGCTCATTCTCAGATCCAGAGGTCCACAGCAAGCTCCTCGAATAGAAATCCCCTCAAATTTTACTCATTTTACTCAAGGAACCTACAGTTTTGTGCCAGAATAGGTGTATAGTGGAGAAGGTATCTGTTCCTGTAGCCAAGATGGCAAATCAAAAGCATGGGTGGGGTGGCAAGTCAATGCCAACCTCAAAAGCTAAATAGTGCAAGTATCGAAGTCCCTGTCACATCCCTGTATAAGCTTCTAGCTCAGTGCCTGAAGGATGAGGGGGCAACTGCAAATCAGACCAAGTGGATCCTCTCTGTACCTAAGCCTGCCAAGCCTAGCCAAGTGGTTCCATGGAATGTGGGGTCGTCTTTAGGAGGGGTCAGAGCACCGCTGCAACTTGACATGCAGCTACCTACCTGGCTTATTCGATGAAATTATCCTCCTTAAAACATCCGTCAAGAAGAAGGTTCAGAGGCACTTCATCTTCACCCAGGGGAGCCACGGCACAAAGTCGTGTTCTTGCCCCAAGGCCATATGTCCCATCTCAACACAGTCTGATGGGACCCTGGCCATCTGGAAGTTTCTCAGCACGTCACACTTGTCTGCTATTTGACGGCATCAGGCTAACTGGGCCTGGCGACTTAGACACGGTGGTACCCTGTAACCGCTGTATGCACCAAGACTGGAGTTAAGTCCCCCAGAGCTCTCCGGGCTGTCACATCAGTAGCTATCTCAGCGTCTAATGGCACAGGTGCCTAGACAGCTTGTCCACGTGACAGGACAAGAGTTCACACTCTGTGCTCCGCATCACTAAAGGGGTGTCCCGCTCACTAGGGTCTGGATCTGAATTTGAATTCTGGATGTGGCTTGTGTTAAATATGGGGATGTGACTTTGATGTATTTATTGAGAGCTTGGGAAGTTTTGGTGGAAATAGTGGTAAATCCATCATAAGTTGGAGACTGAACATTCAGGAATGAAGCTGAGCAAAGCTAGAGGTGTTTTATTTGGATGGTGGGGTTTTACTTTGTAAAGTGACACAGTGAGGACATGGACAGTCCATGTGACTCGGGCTGTGGAGTGGTTTCCGGCTGTCTGACCTTGACTGACTTAGGGCTAGGGAAATGCCATGCAGGTGTGGCGCGCAAGTTAGATAAGAAGATGGCTGGGAAATACGGCCTTGGGATTGATTGGTTTGTGTGTGAAAAGCCTGTTTGTAGGCAGGTTGTTATCTTTGGGGATTAGCTAGCCCTGGGCGGGGCAGTCTGTCTCCAGATCATCCCTGAAATGTAAAGATATAAGATACAGAAAATTTTAAAAATGTGATTAATATGAGGGCACAAACGAATTGCCCCAGGTATCTCAGGCCCTGACCCTCTCTCAGCTCAGGCAGGTGCACTCGGAGGGCCTGCCTAGACTAGGTAACAGACGAACAAACCCGATGGCTTGTTCCTGGGCGGGCTTGTTAGATGTCACCTGACAACATGCTGTTGAAAATTGCTGTTCCAGCCCAGGTTGGCCCTGGAGGACATTGAGGGGCCATTCTGCCCACATACAGAGATTCTAAAAATATACAAGGTCCAAGGTCAGCCAATGTTTCCTTAAGGAGCCGACAGAAAGTGTTTTAGGCCTGTGGGCCACTTGATCTCTTTTGTGACTTAGCTGTGCCCTTGTGATGGAAGCAGCTATAGACATAAACAAATGGGATCGGCTGTGTTCCAGTGAAATTTTATTTACAAAAACAAGTGGCTGGACGGAGCTCTGACCTTGCACTAGCTTATCTACTTGTTACAGTGAGACACTGGCCTGAAGTAAGAATACACATAGATCCTGGGGCCTTGGCCGATGGGGTCTCGGCCCTCTAGGAGGGGCAAGGAGCTGCTGGATTGGAGCTTCAGAGGTGGGAAGTCCTAGGGGCCTGTGAGCATGAAGTCACGGACCTGGGGAGCAGACATCAAAGCTCATCAGAACGCACGGTGGGTAGGAGAGCTCCCCGCGGAGGCGGGCAGTCCGACTCACCCTGAGGGCGGGGCAGGCCTGGGTCCCAGCGCGTGAGTCCCTCCGAAGGAAACAGCCGCCCCTGCGCCTGCCGCCCAGCCTCTTAGCAGCAGCAGCAGCGCGTACGTGGAGCCCTGGTAATGCTCCGGCCTCAAGGGGACCAGCAGGGACGTGGAGATGACTGGGTTCCCCGTCCCCTTCTGGACTGAAGCTGTGGCTGAGCCCTTGCCCATTCGGGTTCCCCTTGCTGCGGGAATTAGTGGGCAAGGGAGAGAGTTACGGGGCTAGGAAGGAGAGGCTGAGCCCCATGGAGGGGTAGAGTTTGGATCCAACACTCAGAGACGAAGGTCAGGCGCACCCCACTGCGTGAGACGCGGTGGCCGGCAGGACGGGGCCGGGCCCTGGGCGCCCGGAAGGAGGCGGAGGACCGAGAGGCCGGCGTCCGTGACGGCCTTGGGCCACACGCACCATCAGGGGCCGGCTCGCCCCACTGAGACCCCTGTCCTGGAACTTAAGCTGCTGCAGCTTAAACCCTTTTTCAGGATCTGTTTCTGGGGGAATTCAAACTAAGACTGGGCTCTGATAGGCTGGGCAAGCCAGGACTGGACGTGCATTTTGAGGGAACCACTGCCCTTGGGGTACAGAATCCCCGAGGTCACAGCTGGATGAGATCCTAGACGCCTTCAGTTTGCAAATCTAAAAAACGTAGATCAGTTTCTCCCATTTTATAGGTAAAAAAAGCCATGGTGTACATTAATTAGCAGATAAACCAAAACCATTTTCCGAATGTCTAGTCAGCTGCATTAGCCCGCCCATCTGACTCGTTCTTAACTCACTGAGGCCCCCAAAAGCAACTGTGGGATATCTAAAGAAGCCACGGTTATTTTCCATAAAATAGAAAAGAGATAACTGAAGTTCTCATAATTTGATGAATTGTATAATATAAGGAATTATTCAGAGGCTGTCGGAGCATGAAATTTTGCTCATTAGTGGGTATAAATACATTCATCATAACAGTCTATGATGTATTTATCAGTAAGGATAATAACTACCTGCCTATTTTGTCTCTTTTCTTGTAAGGCCCTCATTTTTTCCCCCCAAAGGTAATACACAGACTTTACAAAGAATATCAAGGTCCAGACCATATAAAGCACAAAGTGCACGTGACCTTTACCCTCTTCCCAGGCTTTCACTTAATTAATTTTCTTGCAGTCGCCTTTGCTCCCTGCTTCTTGACTATCTTTCCTGATACCTTTCTGCAGGTGCACACACGCCCACACACATGCACACACGCCCACACACATGCACACACGCACACACAGACGCACACACATGCACACACGCCCACACACATGCACACACACGCACATACACGCACACATGCACGCACACGCACACACATGCACACACACGCACGCACATGCACACACACACATGCACACACACGCACACACACGCACACATGCATGCACACACGCACACACACGCACACACACAAACACCTACATATTTACATAAATGAGATAATAACACCCAGAGTACTCAGCAACTTACATTATTGATGAAATGGATCTTAGAGATGATTTATGCCAATGTGTCCAGAGCCACCTATTTTTTAATTTATCATTTTCATTGTATTTTATCATATGTTTATACTCCAACTTTTCTTCATTTATATATTGATGGATTTTAAGTTTCTTTCTGATTTCTTTCCCATTACAAACAGTAACACTGACCTCAACATCCTCATATGCTTATCTTGCAATATTTCAAAGGACAGATTATTAGAAATGGGGTTTTGAAGTCTAATACAAGAGTCATTTTAAACTTAGGTAATGAGAAATTGCTTTCCTAAAGTTTATATATTGTGACATTCTATAAATACCACTACCGCTCTGTCTGAGAATTCCCGCTTCCCTGTACACAGCCAACACTGTCATTGTCCTGTGATATAGGCAGAAGTACTGTTTTTAATAGTGTTGGTCATTTTTTTAAATATAATTGTTGGCTTTTGTCTTTTTTCTACCACAAATTGTGTATTCATACATTTTGTGCTTTTTTCTATTGTTTTATTATATTTAAATTTGTGATTCATAAAAGCATTCCCATGTCATAGATGCTGACGTTGGTTTAAATATTGTGCACATCTCCCTCGCCTTTCTCTTAAACACTTCTCTCCTTATTTTTGTAATGCTTTCTTCTCTGATAGGATGTCCTATTTTCATATATTGAAATCACT